GGAATTTGGCAGGAACAACATGGATAGATTTTTCTTATAAGAATGTATTAAAAACCTCCTTCGGAGTCTGAGCTACAGGCTATTTTGAAAGAAACTCAATTTTATTAATTAAAACTATCCATGGTAATTAACTAGCTACCATTTATTGAGTTCTTATCATGAAGTCTGACTATATGTCAGGCCTCTACCAAGCATTTTACATACATTATCTCATTTAAATCTCTCAATGCTGTAAGTTAAGTATTATTATCTGCATTTCACAGACATTAAAACTGAGGCTAGAGAAGTTAAGTAAAATTTCCTAAGTTCATAAAGCTCTAAGTTCCCGAGGCTGGATTTTTACCCTGGTTTGTATGATTCTATTCCTTGTGTTCTATATATTACAAATATTAAAAACAGCATCTCTTGGTATTAGTCCTGCAGAAGAGTACTTTAATTAGTTTATGTAAATAATGTGTAATTATCATAATGTATTCCTTTTTCGGATAGCCTTTTTTTTTTAAATCCTCACTGAGGATATTTTTCCCATTGATTTTTAGAGAGAGTGGAAGAGAGAGGGAAAGACAGAGAGAAATATTGATGTGAGAGAAACACATTGATTGCCTGCCTCCTGCACGAGCCCTAACCAGGGCCCGGGCCAGGGAGGAGCCTGCAACCAAGGTATGTGCCCTTGACTGGAATTGAACCCGGGACCCTTGGGTCCGCAGGCCGATGCTCTATCCACTGAGCCAAACCGGCTAGGGCTAGATAGCCTTTTTTAACCTTTAAAAATTGTGCAATAATTTAAAACTCCCAGTAAGTTGTAAATATAATAGAGTTCTCACATATCCTTTACTCTGTGTTCCCTGATGATATCTTACATAGAACACTGTCAAATCCAGCAAGTTGATATTAGTATAATATTAACTGCACTACAGACTAGTGAGTGATTTCTTTAATCATTTATCTACAATCTTCTTTTTGTTAAAAGTCAGTTTAGTAAGTCTTTCCAATCTATTGTTATGGGAGTAGATTTCATGGGGACTCCTTTATGAACTTTCATCAACAGAATTAGTCATCTGAATTTGTTTGCAATTGGTTTATGTTATGAAATACATTGGAGTGAAACATTCCGAGGAAAAATTTCATGTCAATTTTGTAAACCCAAACATTTATTACACAAACAACCAAAGTAAGCTTAGCCAGATATTTGACTAGAAAACTCTCTTGTTAAATGCTATTATATAAATTTATCTCTGGTTAGAGTGTAGGCCCTCATTCTGAAGGGTTGTGGGTTTGATTCCCATCAAGGGCATATACCTTAGTTGCAGGCTTGATCCCCAGCCCCTGTTGGGGTGCATTTGGGAGGCAACCAATTGATGTGTCTTTCTCACATTAATGTTTCTCTCACTTTCTTGCTCTCTCTCTCTCTCTCTCTCTCTCACACACACACACACACACACACACACACACACACACACACTACCCTCCTTCCCCTCTACTCTCTCTAAAAAAAAATCAATGGGAAAAATATTCTTGGGTGGGGGAAGTTTTTTAAAAAAAGAAGTATAGAATCCCAAGGCTTCAGGAATATAGAAAAGAAATAAATGATAAAGAGCCTGTAAGGTTTTAGAAGACTTAATGGAAAAGGTCAACTTAAGTTCAGTTATATTTATATTTATAATATAAAGTTTGGAATAATATTTTCAACA